ATTGCTACATAGCAATGAGCTCATAATTTCATTCAACTGTACATTATAAGCCCCAAATGTCATTCCTCAGTAGCAATAATCAGCTCAGAGAACATCGCTGTGCATGAAGAGTTAGAACTGTTGTTTTCCTTGCATGCATTGCTTGTATTTAATGCCACTGAATTTCACCTGATGTTCTATTACCCAGCCATCCAGTACAGTGAGACAACCTCACAAATATTGTCAGAAAACAGAAAGTGGGGCTGCTCCACAAGGGAAGGTGAGACAAAACTCAAGGACAAGGACAAGGCTGGGAGAGACCTGACCAGCAAGAGTTAGCAATGCTCTGTGTTTCATACAATCACAGAATCATTAAGGTTGGAAAAGACCTCTAAGATCATCTTGTCCAACCATCCACCTACCACCAATATTGCTCACTAAATCATGTCCCTAAGTACCATATATTCCTTTCCTTAAATACCTACAGGGAGGGTGACTCCATCACCACAGCCATTACCTCCTGTCCTGTCACTAGTTACCTGGGAAAAGAGGCAGACCTACCTCAACACAAAATTCACTGCCCCTTAGACCTAAGAGGCAAGGAATCAGATCCTTCTTGTTACAAACACATCACTGGATTGCACAGATTCATTTAAAGTTACATGACTACATTGTGAAGTGTAGCAGTTTTCAGCTTTGCCGGTTGACAACAAACATGCAGCGTTATGATCTTGCATTTTATTTCAATGGAAAGTGTCTGGTATACCAAATCACCTAATATGCACCTACTAAAGCATCTAAGAACTTGTTTACTCTCCATGTCATAGTATGCTACAGAGAAAGTCTACATACTTCCAATTATTGCCCCACACAACCATAAAATCCTTCCATGATTCAGAGGCAATTACAAATCTCATCTCTTAAAATGGATGGAATTGTGATTTTTGTAGGAGGGATCCTCTAAGGAAGAACTGTGCATAGAATCATTTAAGTTGGAAGGGACACTTAAAGGTCATCTAGTCCAACTTCCTGCAAAGAACAGGGACACCTACAGCTAGATCAGGGTGCTCAGAGCCCTGTCCAGTCTGACCTTGGATATCCCCAGGGATGGGGCTTCCACCACCTCTCTGGGCAACATGTTTCAGTGCCTCACCACCACTGTTGTAAATTTTTCTTTTCCTTCTGTTCAGTCTAAATTTTCACTCCTTTAGTTTGAAACAATTTTTCCTTGTTTCAAACCATTTCCCTTGCATAACCGCTTGTGGTTGATATTGTAGACCGGTCTGTGGAATGATAGATGAGATAAATGTTGCTGCCAAAAGTAAAGTTCAAGAAGCATTTGGATAATGTTCTCACACATAAGGTTTAATTCATAGGTAGTCTTATGTGGAAATGGGAGTTGGACTCAAGGCTCCTTGTGGGTCCATTCTGTCACATGGCAAAGTACAACCAAGATCCCCATGATATGCAGCAGCTAGGACAGCACCCCCAGCATCCCCAAAATCTCAACATCAGGGATCTGTGCGGTTGGGTGGGTAAGTGCACATTGGCATGGGCACAGCTGTTCAAACAGTGTGCTGAAACTCTTTAGGATGCATGATATTATAGGGATGGCTTCGTCCTCTCTGGGTGCTGCCACTCATTTTAATGAATGGGAGTCTCTCTGCGGATGACAGCTGGAGGATGCTGACAAAGTGTCACTAGCTGAAACAAGGAACCTCTGGTTTCTCAGCTTGACAAGTGCTCCTTCTCAGACATCCATTAGTTGGTGTCAAAAATTCAGAACAGTGATATGACTGCATAACTGGGAAGGGTACAAAAGCATGTTGTATTTACCATGCTAGCTCAATGTAAAGGGAAATTACTAGGGAGCTATGCATCAAATCAGCCTTCCACTCTTTGTGTTGATTGCTTTACCAGGTAGAGGTGTTAACAGTGTCCAGCTCCTCTTTTGTAGAGGGATTACAAAACACCTCTCCACACAGCAGGTCAGTGAAAAGCTTTAGTTAACAGACCAAGAGGCACACACTGAAAGAGCAATGGTCAGAGCATCCTCCACGGGGAAAAATGTGTCTGTGAGACCTGCTTCTAAAAAAGACCACATTATCTTCATATTGTTCCCCCTTTAGTAATAACACAATATTCATCCCAGGGGAAGAAGATGATTGCCTCAGCTCTGTCTAAAGGGATTTGTTAGAAAAGACTGGAAAACAATTCTTGTTATAAGAAAGTGCATAAAGAGATGGGCATTTGGAAATGTGCTGAAAGCTAGGTTATTACAAGGCTGCTACTAATGACTACAATACATCATTTCAACTTGTTGATTTTTCTTTCTTTAATTTCCAGATTATCCGACTGTTGCTCATCCTCCACCCATTCTGAAAGTAAACAGAGACATCATGTGCCTGAGCTGCCAAAAGTTACTTTCAGCAGCAATTAACTTGAGTGGTTTTCTGTCTGTTTTAGAAAAGCCAATCTTCCCACTTTTCCTTTCAGCTTTAGCTTTTTTGATTTTGTCTTTCAATTTTCTTTTTCAGTTTTACTTTCATGACACCTTGATGACTTATGAAAATAATGTTTTTGTTCTACAAATAGGGGAAAGTGTGCCGGAGAGTAGTTTTAATGTCTTGCATGAAGTCCCAAGGGAAATCTGCAAGAGGGCTTGGAGGAGAGAAGCTGCTTCTCTCAAGTCCCAGCTCAGAGCATTCAATATTACCCCAGTAATGGGCTCAGACAAGATCCCAGGCACTTGAACCTATTGCTATGTGAAAACTGGCCTCCCTTGCCCTTCTACCAGCCTCTTGGAGAAATCTTGCAGTGGACTTGCCAACCTCAGCTACAAAAACAATGTGCAACTCACCAACAGATCAATAATTCTATGAAAATAGGACAATCTCTCAGAAAGTCTGAGTAAGAGCACATAGGCCTTGGCAAAACCACTCAGAAGCAATCTCAAAAAAAAAAAAAAAGAGAGGATTTGGATCTGCCATTTTCTACGTCTTTACTTTGGAAACAGTGC